CCTAGGTCCATTTTTTCRAACTTGGACATTGGTATAGGATACGGTCTCTGATAAACTGGTTCCCCTTCTTTGATTCTTATTTGACATTGATATTGTTCGATTCTTCCTGGATTTGTGRTTGGTTGTTGCGTTTTCTCTCTGTTGCCCTCTTTGACTCCAGTTTCTCTGTGGGTGATTATTATTGTTATGTTGCGGTTGGTTGTAGCTTGGATTTCTTTCACTGCTAAAATTTCTCCAACCATTGCTCCTTTGCGGTTGGTTGCTGGCATTATTTTCTGTATTTGTTGTCTCGGGTTTTTCTTTACGATTTTCCTCGGTACTGAGTATTTTCATTTTTCCGGTAAGGATACCAATATTGTTTTGAGACATCCTGTGTAATGATTCGCTATATTCTTAACTATTTCCTCTTCTGACAATTGTGGGACTTGTAGGTGAAGTAATCCAGATGCCCATTGTGAGAAGTGTTCTCTGTATGTTGTATTATTTAGTATATGTGATGTGTTGAGACAGTTACTCCATGTAAGGATTTGTATTTCTCTCGACCAAAATTCATCGATAAATGCATCTCTAAATTCGGAGTAACTTCTAATTTGAAATTTAATTGTCGAGTACCAGTTATTTGCAGCGTTTCTTAGACAGTCCCATATGTCATACRSYGTATGACAATTAGTCTTTTTTCTCTGCTTATTTGTTTGATTTTGAAATATTCTTCTAAATTCTGTAGAAACTCTATTGGATGCTGATCCTTCTGATTGTCATAGAATACTGGTTTTGATATTTCTATGTTAGAGTTCCGCATATTATGTTCCCCAACATGTATTGTTTTATTCTGATTTTTATTGTTGAGTMTCTTAATTCTTCATTAAGTGTTTCGATTTTCATATCGTAATCTTCTTTCATATCTTCGATTTTTTTTAACAGTTTTTGTACCAGAAATTGACTATTTCTTTTGACTTCTTTTTTAAATGTTTGGAATGCTTCCTCACTAATTGTTTGTTTTTTCGATGGCATTCTTGAAGATGTAGTTTTTGCTAATCTCGGGGTCGAAGTAGAATTATCTTCCGAATCGAGCCCCACGTTGGGCGCCAATTGTAACRAAATGACTTTAACTACTGTTTTCCAGCGTGTCAGATACGTGTACTTTATTTTACATAATATAACATATACAGTATTTAATTACCAATTACATTTTTTTTTTTTTTAATGATAATATTTGTTGCTCTTTGAGCGTATAATAAAAACGACAGATATATATATATATATTGATTTGACATAACATGTATAGATATATATTTGTGCTAATACTCACGGTATCCGAGTTCAATACAATATGATAAGTGTATGGAGGTGATTCAGATAATATTGCGCCGGTATGATACTACGGTATTGCCGTAATCCACACACAATATTGTCTGAAGGAGAGGAATRTATATMTTTGTACAGGTAGTATGCTACGGTATTGCCGTAGTCCATATACAAAGATAGGGACAGTAGGTTAGGTTGACGTCTGGCAAGTGTCCTCGTCAGGATGTACTGGCTCGATAGCGCTATCTACCGCGCGCATCGTGCAGAAATGTTACGCGTGCCGCGGTTTCTTTAGTTCGGACACACTCCATTGGTGGTGGTAGTGGTATCATTGTCGTTCTGAATAACTATTTCTCGTTACAATAGACTAGTTAAAAATTAACCAAAATAAACATWCATCGTTAGTAATCATGGCAACCGGAGAACATAATTCAAATAAAATATGTCTACAATTGAATTATACATACCTTAGTTCTTAGTTAAGTACATTGGTTTTGAATATTATGTAAAGAGTGACTAAGGACTATCTTATACTTATTATTTTTTGTTTTATAAATATACCATGAAATATTTGGGCTATGCTTACCAACTACCCAAGACTTTGTCAGTCCCCTAGGGTATTTTACCTTAAATGTTTTTGAAGTTTTTAAATAGATATTTAGAACATCTTGTATTCCCATTGTGTCCGTCTGTTCGTTAGTTATCAGTAGATAGTTACGATTATTGATATTAAGATATGTATTTAGGTACTTATTGACTATTGTTCATAGTTACTATACATAATTACGATTATTGATATTGAAATAATATCATAGCATTGTATAATTATTTGATATAAATACAAACTATTAAGGTTACCAAATTATTTTTACTCGTATTTGAAATTATAGTATACTTACTTTATATTATCATATCACGTTAGGAAATCGGAAATTCAGCACTCTCTCAGAGTGAGCTTTCCTTACTTATTTTTATCATAATTATTCATAATTAGAAATTTAAGAGTACCTATTCTGTTTTAGGAGAAAAAAGTATCGTAAGTGAGTCACTGGAGATTAACCAGTAACATTTTTAAATCTATTAGTATGTTTGTGGTGGTCATAATATATAAGATAGGTAACCATAGAGTGTTATTAATACTACAAATTACATTCCAAATCATCTTTTAAAGATTTTAATCAAACTTAAAGTTACTATACATTTAGATATTTGTCATTAGATACAGCAATTCCTATAAATATATAAATAATGAAGAATTTCTATTTAAAACTTTTAACGTATTAGACCTACACACACACACGTCACACACACATTTCATTTGTCTTGGTAAATTAACTTTGGACGACTAAAGGTTCGCTACCGCTGCAGTGTGTGGCAACCTTTAGGGATTTCATGCTTTACGCCACAGAAMGGATGTGATGGGGAAATTACGTCATCTTGAGGCATGGATTACCGGTCATTGCCATATATAGTCCATTAATTCACTTTTTATTTAAAAAATTGAATTGCACGGTAACTATCTTATTAATTATAATCTTGGATTGCATTGTCGTTTTCACAGGGAAAAAATCCTTTTGGCCTAGGAWTATCTTTATTGAACTGTGATAGGTACTAAGTATTCATTATCGAATTAAGCCGTTTTATAGTTTGTATTATCTTCCTTTCACGCACCACTGTTTCTATTATTATTATGACGATGAATGTTAAGCACCGATAAACGCCAATAATTTGCCTCCATTGTAGGGGTTTATGTAAACAGCCTGATCGGATAAATAAGCTATAAGCGTGCTTAATTATTTTATACATAAATTCATAGGTGTTATTTATGTGGAATCAGTTATCACATCACTAGGTAGGTATTTCATTTTTCAAGAATTTTCAAAGAAAACAGATCTTACTCGCTATTTAGTGCTTACAAAATATCAATATTGACAACGATAAAAATTAATGACATATTTGATGGTTAGTTAATATTATGTGAATAATATTACAATAGAATTATTTTTAACAATAATTGTAAATCTTTAAACAGTTCATTCTAATTTGTACACTTAAGTAGCTGGAACAAACAAAACTCAACAAATTAAATGTGTTTCAATACAAAAATTTTTCTTTTTTATTATTTTGTAATATTATAAATAGTTTAGAAAGAACATTTAGGGCTGATGARTACTTTCGTTTTTTGTTTTTGCTGCTGTGGCGCTGTAAATGGTTGAATGCAAAGATTGTGTGCGGTAATTGTAGCAGCGCTATAAGAGCACTGTACGTATTACCTACGCCGTATTTGTCATAGCGGCAAAAAAAAAACACGTGTACATCGAGTCATAAACCTTAAAAATCAATAAGGTTCAAATCCTAACATTTTTGAGSTATTTAAAATTACATAAAACGATTTTTTTTATAAAGAATAAATTATTATTTTTTTTACATACCTAAGACTTACCTATGATTTGGATTATTAACCAGTAACTTAATATTATCCAAACCACGTGAACGCCAAAGTAAAAAATACGCAAACAACAAATATTCTGAAAAATAAATAAAACATTTTTCCAAAAACATCTAAAGAATAATAAAGGGGATATCTGTTGTTATTTTAAATTATCTATATTAAAATGTCAATAGTTAAAACATATTTTTTGTACATTAGATGTACAGGCAATAATAAGGCATATACTAAGCTTGAAATAACCTTATACRAGTTGATTAGATAAACTTGATTTAAAYTTTATCTATTCATGGTTATAATCGGTGTACTATGTAAGTTCAGAGTTTTCAAGCCTTMATTTTTTAACAGTTAAAATAACAATTTATCAACCTCTAACTTGACAAAAACATTTAAAAATGATTGCAGGTTATAATAATAGATAACATTATTATATGTATTTAATAGATTTACTTGTACAACATCAAATAGTTCCAACTATCATTTGATTTTAACTTGAAACTTTAAAAATAAAATAATGTTATAATATTATTTTTTTGTATTATTTGAACCTAAAATAATATCAGTTCATGCAAGTTATTACGGTGAGATTGTTTATTTAAAAAATAAGAATAGATATTAAAACTACAGAACAATTGTCATTCATACTCACGTGCTATTATGCACTTAACAAGCTTTTTTTTAATTACAATTTACAAGAGATTTTTATAAGAATAACGAGGTTACTTAAGCATTATCGCCTAATAGTTAATTGTACTTTTTAGGAACAAATTWATTTTGTTTTAATAAAATCAATTTATAAATAAATACATACTAAATAATCATAAACCGTGTATAGTTATGTAGATTATTTTATCTGGAATTCATATTGTATTTATTTAATGTAATATAATACAATCTAGTTTCGATAACTTGAATCTAAGGGGAATATAGATAAATTCGATGTATGTATTTTTGGAGTTACAGATACACATCAAATATAACTTAAAAATAATAAAAAAGGGCAAACAAATTCTAATTGTTGATATTTTAAGTTAATAAGATTTGAGTTATCAAGACTAGAATATTATATATCTATTACTAGGTACGTTAAAATATTAAATGTTAATCGTCAATACGTTATGTTAGCCAGATAATAATACAATTATTAAAACAAATATTGTTTGAACACATATTTTGTATTAAAAAAGTATATTATTTTATTTATGTAATATATAAATTAATKTATGTATTTATTAATATGTTTTAGATCAAAATATATAGAAAAATAATGGGAATAAACGTGTAACAGGTAATTTWATTTATTTTTTTATTAAATTACTTAGTGAAGAATAATATGCCTATAATAGCTTTATTATATAATTTGTATGTAGGTATAATAATATAATAATATGTATGTTAGTTACTTAGATCATATACTATGGATGGAGCCATAGCGTATTTACCAATACAAAAAAAAGATGTTGATATCAGCGACGAGTCACCAAATTAGGTATTCGATATGCGCATGCGCAATGCAATTCGTCGATTATCTATCCACAAGTTATATTGTTAAATTTTGACCTTGGGTACGGCCTATGGATAATTATTATGYGACTGAAATGCATAGCGCATACATATACAGAATCGCGCATGCACATATGGAACACCTAAGGTTCAGAGACTCGTCGCTAATRTTCAAAATAATACGCTGTAGCTCCATCCATAGCATAATATGATCTAAGGTTAGTTATTACTACTAATATGATATGGACCAGGCGATAATCAAAAATATTGATGAAAACATAATTATGACACAACATCTTATGTTATCATAATGAGTATATGACGATAACATATATTTGTTAATAAATTATAAAATATCCATAGAAGTATAGATTGGCTGACTTTCCAATCGCAATTATCTTTCATTTACAGTGATTAATAATTTAATTCAAATTTGAGACATTCATTACAGYGACATAMTCTGTGATAAGAATATATATTATATAAGTTATATATAAGTTGTACTCAATATTTCATATATTTCCCCTATTTTATTATTTTATTTTTGCTTTTTCGTGGTGAATGGGTGAACTTATTTACTAAATTTTTAACTTGTATATTGCCAAAAGAATTTTAACGCTTAGTAATTAAAATATACATTAATGCAGGTGGCTAATAATTAGGTCAAACTATCAAAAGTCAATTTATTTTATTTTTTAAAATATTGGTTTAATTGGGTAATTTAAAAAATATTTATATTTGATTGCATTTAAATTTCAATGTCCCTTTAATGTAAAACTCACACATCTGTAGTTATGTGTTGTAAAAATGAGAATAATAGTAATAATAATCCCTCGGGATAAACATACTAAATAAACTTACTATTTGTAACTTTTGTGTGATGATGGAATTCAATGATTATTATACTTTCAAACGACTGTACAATGTGAAATATATACGGAAATATACATAATATGTAAATCTATATATTACGGTTACCTAGGTTACTTTAGGTTTGTTATCTAGGTATAACGTCTAACATGTATAAGCGTACGCCAATTTAATCATTGTAAAAAAACCTATTTATTCTTACTATTTTCAAAAACTAAGGTAGTTTCCATTAAAATTAGTCTGTAAAAACATATAATACAGTACGCGTAAATATAATCATAAAATTAAGATTTTGTATATTTCATAGTTGATTATAATGGCATGTAATCTAAAAATATGCACTGTTAACCTTAAATATTTTTAAAACACATAAACATTTCAATAAACATATTCAATACTTAATTTAAAATAAAATAAAAATTRTAATCAATATTTGTGTTTGTAACTGTTATTATACTATAATTAATATATTATTTCATATTACTATATTAAATTATATGTTTTATTTCTAATGATAAAAATTATTATATTGTACACTAAGTTTAACGAAATGTCCAAGTCTTCAGATAAACTTTAAATGATCAACAGTAAAAAAACTTAATTTTTAGTTACTATTTGCCAGGTCCAGTATTAGGTCTTTAGAATTTATTTAAAAAAAGTGTATTATGTAAAAAGCTACATATATATGTRAATATTGTAATAATATTATATTAACTATTCTTTAAATACATGCATAAAAATTAGTAAAAAGAGTGACGTGAAWAATACTCATTGTTATTGTTATGAACCAACTATGATTTCTAATAGATATCTACTTAAAATTAATTATTGATTTTGAATTCCAAGGTATACATTATTGTATTTTTAAGAACTTTCTTCTCATTAATTTGAGAAGCTCATATATATTCTATAATAATAAATTATGGTAGTATCGAAATTCTATATTTTATATACCTACTKATTTAGATTTATACAATACCAAAATAATACAAAAATGCCAACTCTAAAGTTACACATTTTCGGTTTCACTGTTTCATAATATATATCATACCTAGRGAAAATTATAGTAGTTTGAAATTAATTGTGCTTGATTTAAGTTGAAATGTGTGATTTATACTAAGATTATGATAATCCAAAAGGATACACATGTCTCAGCGCAAATACGTATGCAATTAACTGCAAATGGAATTAGATTAACCCGTAGGTTTGAAATCTCATTTCATAATATATTGTAGGATAAAATATAAAGGAACACATGCCGACACACATATATTATGCKCRTCATTGAAAATCATCTCTAATTTATGAAAAATAGCTTGTACTATTCACAGTTTTCATCTATATAAGTCCCACTAGCATCTCAAGTGAAGATACTTGAGTCATATATTGTTCAAATATAATATAGTGATGCACCAAMAAATTCCACAGTTATAACGAACTATTTTATATTTTATGAATATATTAAAACTTTATTCAGATACATTTTATGTTCTCAATCATAWTTATACCTTAAGATATGTTATTTRATCCACAAGTGTCATGTACAACTGTTAGGGTTGGTGGAATGAGCTTAATTTTTTAGGAMATTTTAGGTATACGAGTTAGGAACTAAATTAATATAAATTGTATTACYAATTTACATTTCATGAACAAAACTATACACTAGGTACTTACCYAGTAACCATATAAATAGTTTATATGATTAATTATCATTATAATATGCATATATCAATATAATAAAAAAAATAAAAATATTAATTCAGGTACATTTATTTGTAAATGAAAACCTTTTTTTTTATAGGGAATATATTTGAAAAACTCAAAGATGCTGAGCTCAAATACTCASAACAACTCAACTTCATCATTTTTTATTTGGATAAAATAAATGCTGATAAAACAAAACTAAAACACATATTATTTTTGAGACACAAAAAGCAGCTTTAAAGGTGCACTTAAATTGAACTTGAAACGTTCAAGTCAATTAATTAAAATAATTTATTGCGTTCTCGTAAGTCTAAAATATAATAGGTAGCATTTACTTCAGTTCAGTAATATACATATATGGATTTTGTTCCTTATACACCAAAAATATGGATAAAATACATTGACATAGATATATCTATATATGTATTCATATTTTTAATCTATAATTAGAATTTATAGGAAGTGTTAGGATGATTAGATCGCCGTTTATGAGTTGATACTCGTGGWTAGCAAGTTTGGCGTGACAGGTTATCTACGTATTATAATACGTTTTTGTTTGTTTGTTATTTTTTTGATACGGAGGTTGTACACGTTAACTCAACATTAAATGATAATATATTCCTTTATATCTACTGATTTTGTTGTTTTGATTATGAAAGTTAATTTAATAATTGTGAATATAAAAAAAAAAATGAACAATTGAACAAATGATTCAAATATGAAAAATATTTAAAACTGCAGCACATATAAATAGTACCTACCTATTTCACGTTTGATCAGTTTATAACACAAATTGTGTTTACCGTTGAATGTTGTTCTTCTTTATAGAATAGTTACTACMCACCCATTCCGTAAAATACATTGACTTTTAGTTGTGCACAAAACTATGGCATTAAAATAGAATTTATTCTGTTCACATATAGTATTTGTTCATATAAATGATAGTAAATTTAGACCTGATTTTGAAGTAAAAGGATGCAATAAATTATGAAAATCTATGTAATCTCTTAAGAAATCTTTAATAATATGTAATAAGTATAAATAAATAAATAAATAAATAAATAAATAAATAAATAAATAAATATGGATATTATAACGATTATACATATTTACACCATATAGATAATACATAGGTAGGTACTGAACTTTTATGGTCACTCATACATAGTATGGTTTTCGCAGCTTTATCTCTAGCAAAAGTGTCCCCGAAACTCTAAGCCATACATCATTAGTGTTATACAGCGCCGGTCACGCCCACCAACAATCCATTCTCTCGGTATCTACCATCCCTTTCCCAGGTGTTTTTAGCCTGACATTTCTGAAAGTATTTTTCATTTATATTCACCACATTATAATACATTTCAGCAGTTCTCTTGTTATTATTACGTTTGTTAGGTATTTGACGTAAAATAAACTCGTTCACAACCAATGGTTAATCACGGAATGCGCATATAACTAATGATTATACAAAGAATGGACAAAATTGAGTCAAAAATCTGTCTTTAAAAAAAAAAAAATTACAATAATTAAAAGTATTACTATTTGCAATMCCGCTAAAATTACCGGACGGTCATAATCTTTGGTTTTATTGCAAAAGAATAATAACTGACCGCTATCGTGTACCAGATGACTAATAAAAGGGAAAACTTAAGAATTTTCAAAGATTTTAAATCAAAGCAAAAATAAAATTAGGGCATGACTGCGTAAGTCAAATTTTTTTATGTATATATATATATATTATTCTTTTTAGTTTTTATGCAGATTATGATAGCATAAACATAAAATTGTTTTTAGAAAAAAAGTTTATGCTATTTATATAGGTACCTACTAGCTGATCACATGCACTTCGTTACCCGTTAAATGTATCAAATCTATATGACTCACACTTTGTTCAATTCATTATTTAATAATCGTTGTATGGTGTTCAAAACTTATCTAAACTTTTCTGTTACCTGGAATAAAATTCTGATTCGCAGAAGTATAATAGGTATTAGCAGGTAGGGAATCTACCTGTGGTAGATCACGGACCTCGTGCTGTTTATATGTAAGTGTACTTAACTCTAAAGTATTAAAGTTATACMAAGTTCGTCATTTTTACTTAATTCCACTAACGGAGGATTAATATAATCAATTTATACAAAATCCTTGATTATGCTAGCAGTATATTTTTATAAATATTAATAGATAGCTGAATTACCCGGCGTTGTCTGG